GGAAACCCTCAATGAAATAGATTTACACGATGGCTGAAACAATGGAGTCAAATGTAGAAATTATTGTGAGGATCGTGCAGGACCAGGTAGTATTTCATTATATTGGCACCTAAGAACAACAATAGAGAATTGAGAGATAAGATAAAAGGAATATTCAAACATTTTACACCAACTGATAAAGGATAAAGTTCAGAACAAGAGGTGCCTTAGGCACTATGCCACCAGAGCTCCTAAATTATATTTAGACACCTGCACTTAAAAAAAAAAAAAAAAAAAAAACTTTAAGCAAACTAACAATATATAGGAAATCCCTTAATTTGATAAAAGTATATTTCAGTATGTTGTGTTGTTGTTATGTGCCATCTAGTCATCTCTGATTCATAGCGACCCCTCCTTGGGTTTCTAAGGTAGTATCATTGCAGAGGTAGATTGCCCAATCTTCCTTCTGAAGAGTGGCTGGTGGGTTTGAACTGCCAGCCTTCTGGTTAGCAGTCAAGTGCTTTAGGCACTACGACACCAAAGCTCCCATATTTCAATATGGATAAATTTAAAATACATTGAAATTGTTCTCTTTCAAATCAATGTTAAGAGAAAGATATGTGTTATTACTTTTGTCTGAGAATCTACAGATTCTTAGGCATTACAGTAAGAAATAAAATACGGTCTTAAAAAGTATAAGGATTGAAAAGAAAAAATATTTTCTATTATTCTCAGAAAATTTAACTTTATTTATGCAAAATTCCTGAGAATTTATAATTGGTTGGATTAATAATAGGTCAGTTGATAATTTCTGCATGCAAAAACAATATATAAAATTACACAATAGCAAGAAATAAGTCATATTTATAAAAATTTTTATTTGCAAATTGACAAAAACAACAAAGTAGGAATAATCAAACATCTAAAATCTTTACAAAGAAAACTTTACTGATAACTATAAAATAATACCTAAATAAATGAAAAGCTATAATTTTCATATATTAGAAGAATAAGCTTCATAAAACTATCACTTCTCTGTAAAGTAACTTACAATTTCATTATAATTCTCATAAAAATCCTAATTTTTAAAATGGAACTTCAATTTATTCTTGAAGTCATACAAAAAAGAAAAGGACCAAGAATACCTAATTCACTCACCAAAAAAGAGCAAAGTGTAATATCTCCCATTTCATACTAAAAATCTTTTTAAAAAGAGACTCATAATTGTCTTCACAAGTACATGTTGTGGTTGTTGTTATGTGCTGTTGAGACAGACCTGACTCATAGCGACCCCTCCTACACTTTATATATGACAAATGCCAACTTACAACTTTGTTGAAGAAGGTTGAATTTTTCAAAATACAGTACTAGGACATTTATTTGTTCAATAGGAAAAATTAGATTCCTACTTCACCCTATACAAAAATTTTATTCCAGTGTATAAAAGATATAAATTATGTAAAACAAAGCATTTAATGTTTAGAAAAAAAAAAAAAAAACAGGGAAAATAGCTTTTGACCTTAGTATAAGTAAAGTTTCTTAAAGAATACACAAAATGCTCGAATTGTAAGGAAAAGATTAATGAATTTTATTATATTAAAATTAGATTGTGAATTGAAATTATATTTGGCAGAAATACAACCAAAATGCTCCTTAAAAGAGAGGATGGAGAGAATAGAAAGTTCACTATTGGATGGAATTTTTAGAAAAAAGGGAGATACAAAGAGGTTTTATACTGAAGACATAGGAAAACCGGGTATTGAAACTAGGCGTGTTCTTTATTCTCTAGTACTTTGTGAATGCTTACAGTATATCATAATGAGAAAAAGATTGTAATACATATATTTAGCCTATTTTCCCTATTTAAGAAGAAGTAAAATTATATTTCCTTTGGCAGTAAGTAAGAGAAAGAAAAGATGGTTTGAACAACATAAAACTTGATTTCTTTCTTGTTACTTCAAGATACCTGGAGGATATTAGAAAAGAGCTGGGATAGTAAGTTATGGTATGAGATAACCAGGTTCTGTCTGTCTTATTGCTCTCTTACCTGTATTGCTACCATGACTTCATGGATTCAGATGGCTAGTTGTTGGAGTTCAAAGCATTATCATCTCCTTCCAGACATTATAAAACAAGAAAGAAAACATCTGAAAAAGAAGGCATGAACCATCTTTTAAGAAAAATTTCAGAAGTTGCACACACTGCATTACATATGTTTATCATTTCTGACATATATGGCCATGCTTTGTGTGGTAGGGATAAGAAATATTTATTGCAAGCTGCTAAAAGCCATATATTACAATGAAGTGTGCAAGGAAAGCCAAAAGTGAAGAACATGCTACACATTTCTCAGACTGAAAGAACTGAAGAAGAAATTTAAGCCTTGAATTGCAATTTTGAAAGATTCTACGGGCAAAATATTGAATGATGCAAGAAACATCAAAAGAAGATGGAAGGAATACACAGAGTCACTGTACCAAAAAGAATTGCTCAATGTTCATCTATTTTAGGAAGTGGCATATGGTCAAGAATCATTGGTATTGAAGGAAGAAGTTGAAGCTGCACGGAAGGAATTGATGAAAAACAAGGCTCCAGAAATTGATGGAATACCAATTGAGATGTTACAAAAAATGGATGCCACACTGGAGGCACTTATTCATTTATACTGAGAAACTTGGAAGACCTCTCCCACTGACTGGAAGGGATCCATATTTGTACCCATTCCAAAGAAAGGTGATCCAACAGAATGTGTAAATTATCACACAATATTATTAATATCACACACAAGTAAAATTTTGCTGAAGATAATTCAAACACAGTTACAGAAGTATATTGACAAGGAACCTCCAAAAATGCAAGCCATATTCAAAAGAGGACATGGAACTAAGGATATCATCACTGATATCAGATGAATCTTGGTTGAAAGCAAAGAATACAAGAAATATGTTTGTGTTTTATTGACTATGCAAAAGCATTCAACTGTGTGGATCATAAAAAATTGAGAAGAATGGGAACTCCAGGACACTTAAATGTGCTCATGAGGAACCTGTACTTAGCAAAGGGGCTGTCATTCAAACAGAACAAGGGGATATTGCATGGTTTAAAATCAGGAAGGGTGTGTGTCAGGGTTGTATCATTTCACCATACTTATTCAATGTATATGCTGAGCAAATGATATGAGAAGCTGGATTATATGAAAAACACTGCATCAGGATTGGAGGATGACTCATTAACAACCTGTGATATGCAGACAACATAACCTTGCTTTCTGAAAGTGAAGATGACTTGAAGCACTTACTGATGAAGACTACAGTCTGTGTATGGGTTATAACTCATCATAAAGAAAAGACAAATCCTCACACTGGACCAATAAGCAGCATTATGATAAATGGAGAAAATATTGAAGTTGTCAAAGATTTAATATTACATGGATCCACAATCAACACCCATGGAGGCAACAGTCAAGAAATCAGATGATGTATTGCACTGGGCAAATCTGCTGCAAAAGAGCTCTTCAAGTGCTGAAGAGCAAAGATGTCTCCTTGAAGACTAAGGTGTGCCTTAGCCAAGCCATGGTATTTTCAATCACCTCTTATGCATGTGAGAGCTGGACAATGAATAAGGAAGACCAAAGAAGAGTTGATGCTTTTGAGTTGTGGTGCTGGCAGAGAATACAGAGAGTAACACGGACTGCCAGAACTAACAAATCTGTCCTGGAAGAAGTACAGCTGGAATGCTCCTTGGAAGCAAAAATGGCCAGGCTTTGTCTCACCTGCATTGGTCATGTTGTCAGAAGAGACCATCTCCTGGAGAAGCATATCATGCTTGGTAAAGCGGAAGGTCAGCAAAAAAGAGGAAGACCCTCAACGAGATGGATTGACACAGTGGCTGCCACAGTGGGCTCAGGCATAGGATTGTGAGGATGGCACATGATGGTGCAGTGTTTTGTGCCAGTGTACATAGGGTCGCTATGAGTTGGACCCAACTCAATGGCACTGAACAACAACATAAGCCAAGTGAAAAATTGGAATTTTAAAAATGTGGATGAGAGAAGGACAGAATTTGGGGTAAATGTGCCACAAGCATTTATTTATCAGCTTTCTCCAAGCTTATCTTTTACTCTGTATTACAGTTAAAAGCAAAATCACAAGAATTTCTTTAATTTTTCTCATTGAGGTTTTTAAAATATTTCTGACCCATGAACTCAAAGGAAGATGTTCAATTAATTTGTATATAGAGTAGAAAATATAGCTAAGTTGTTAGATAAAATGGCCAAAAAATCTTGTTATGATTTTGAATACCCAACTTGTTGACAGAGTCCTATAAATATGTTTTGTAAGGCATTTGGCTGCTAACCAGAAGATTGTGGTTCAAACCACCAGCTGCTCGGCTGGAGGAAGATAAGGCAATCTAGTTCTACAGTGATTTACAGCCTTAGAAACTCAACAGGGGTTGGAATCAACTTGATGGCAGGGGGTTATAAACATGAATTAGAGATTTAGAATACTGTCGTTAATTGTTCAAAAGAACATATCTAATTGTATAGTCCACAGAACTATGCTGTT